CTAATTGAAAGATTCCACAAAGAGGCAAGGTCCAAGACCAACATACAAAAGCCAGCCAAATTCCTCTGCATAAAAAAAAAAAAAAAAAAAAAACCTCTGGAAAGCAAATAAGACAAATAAGAGAAACAATACAATTTACAATGGTTATAAAAAATATAAAATATTTAGGATTGAATATAACAAGAGATACAAAAGACCTATACAAAGAAAACTACAAACAATGCTATAAGATACTAAAGAAGACTTACATAAATAGAAGAACATACCATGCTCATAAATAAGACTGAATATTGTGAAAATGTCAGTACTATCCAAAGCAATCTATAGACATAAAGCAATCCTGTTCCAGATTCCATCAACATTCTTTATGGAGATGGAAAAAAAAAATCATTAATTTTATATGGAGAAAGGCACTCTGGTGAGGTAGTGGTTAAGGCATTTGGCTGCTGCTAACCAAAATGTCAGCAGTTTGAACCTACTAACTACTCTGTGAAAGAAAGATGAGGCAGTCTGCTTCCATAAAGATTTACAACCTTGGAAACGCAATGAGGGTCACTATGAGTCAGAAATGATCTGATGACAGTGAGCTTTGAGTTTTAATTTTATATGGAAAGGAAAGAGACCTCAAATAAGCAAAGCACTATTGAAAAGGAAGAACTTACTCCACAGTCAAGGTAGTCAAAACAGCCTGGTACTGGTACAATAGGAGACACATAGACCAGTGGAACAGAATTGAGAACCCAGAAGTAGATCCATCCACCTATGAACAGCTGACCTTTTAAAAAGGGCTGAAACGCATTAAATCAGGAAATGATAGTCTCTTTAACAGACAGTACTGGCAAAACTAGATATCCATTTTCAGATAAATGAAATAATATCCATACCTCACATCATATACAAAAACAAACTCAAGATGGATCAAAAACTTAAATGTAAAACCTAACACTATAAAAATCATCAAAGTAAAAATAGGGACAAATTTTGGAGCCCTAAATTATGGCATAGCAGCTCTGGTAGTGTAATGCTTAAGGCACTTGACTGCTAACCAGAAGGCTGGTGGTTCAAACCCACCAGCCACTCCTCGGAAGGAAGATTGGGCAATCCACTTCTGTAGTGATATTGCCTCGGAAACCCAAGGAGGGGTCGCTATGAGTCAGGTCCGACCTGATGGCACATAACAACAGCAACAACAAATTATGGCATAGATTATCACACATAACCAAAAATGCACAAAAAATGGAAGATAAAAGATACAAGTGGGACCGCCTAAAAATTAAATTCTTATATGCATCAAAAGTCTTCTTGAATAGAGTACAAAGAAAACCTACAGATTGGGGAAAAAAATATCTGAGAAAAGACTTATCTCTAAAATTTATAGAAAACTTAAATAACTCAACAACAAAAAACAAAGAATCCAATTAAAAATGGAGAGCAGACATGAACAGAAACTTCACCAAAGAAAATATCAAGCCAATCAACAGGCACATCAAAAAATTCTCACAAAAATTATTCATTGTTTTTGCTGTTGTTATGTGCCATCGAGTTGGACCCAACTCATAGCAACCCTTCCTTGGATTTCTGAGGTGGTATCACTACAGAGATAGATTGCCCAACCCTTCTTCCGAGGAATGGGTGGTTGGCTTGAGCCACCAACCTTCTGGTTAGCAGTCACATGCCTTAGGCACTATGCTACCAGAGCTCCTACATTATCCATTAGAGAGAAGCAAATAAAATAATGAGATATCATTTCACCACAGCAATAATAGCAAAGTTCAACAAGACAGAAAACAACAAATGCTGGTGAGGTTATAGAGACTGCAACTCATATAGATTGCTAGTGGGACTTTAAAATTGTATGACCATTGTGGAAAATGGTATGGCTCATGCTTAAAATGTTGAAAATAGAAATACCATTTGATCCAGCAATGCCACTACTAGGTATATATTCTAAAAAAACTAAGAGCCATGACATGAACAGATATATGCACATCTGTGTTCATCACAGCACTATTCACAATAGCAAAGAGATGGAAACCGCCTAAGTGCCCATCAGTAGATGAATTGATAAACATACACACAATTGAATACTAGGCAACAATCTCAAACCACCTCATAATATTAATGAATTTGGAAGATATTATGCTGAGTAAAATAAGTCAATCACAAAAGGACAAATATTATATGAGTCCACTATTATAAAAAGTCAAGACAAGGTTTACACATTGAAAGAAACTTTCTTTTATGGTTACCAGGGATAGGAGGGGAGGCTTGGGGAAATTACTAAGTAAGAGACATGTATTAATGTGGGTGAAGGGAAAGGCAATATACAAAAATTGGGTGACCAGAACAGTATCTCAAAGGAAAAGGAAGGCAGGGAGAGATACACAAGAGTTATGGACAACAAATGTAATTACTATTATATACACAATCCTGCATTATCAGTAACAACAAACATTAATCTGCAACTGGATATACAGGTATACAAGCAAGATAATCAGGTATGGGTAGGCAAATGGGACTATACCCACCACGATGTATAGGTTGACTCACTAAAAAAAAACTCACTGTGGTCGATTCGATTCCAACTCATAGCAACCCCTCCTTGAGTTTCCAAGGTGGTATCTCCATGGAAGTAGATTGCACAATCTTCTTTCCGAGGACTGGCTGGTATATATAAGTGGTGGTTGTTGTTGTTGTTATGTGCCGTCGAGTCAGCCCCGAGTCATAGAGACTCCTCCTTGGGTTTCCGAGGCAGTATCACTACGGAAGTAGAATGCCCAACTTTCCTTCTGAGAAGTGGCTGGTGGGTTTGAACCACCAGCCTTCTGGTTAGCAGTCAAGTGTCTTAGGCATTACACTACCAGAGCTCCTTATATATAGGTTAGGCAGTTGATATTTCTACATATATATTTGTATGTGCTGTGAAAATAATTATGTATATAATAGAGCTGACAGGGAGCAAAGTTTTGAAAACTTTTAGTTGTAATCAAACACCTTCAAGGAATGAGCCTCTGGGTCTTGGGGCTCAGGACTATAGTTTCAGAGGCAATCAAGATCAATTGACATAACTTAGTCCACAAAGGCTATGTTGTACATCCTAATTTGGCGAGTTGCGCCTGGGGTCTTAAAGGCTTATGAGCATCCATCTATGGTACAACTACTGTTCTCTTTTCACCATATAGAGTGGGAGAAAAATGTGGAACAAAACTCAAAATTATGAAGAGATCAGGCTTACTGGTCTGAGAGAGACTGGTAACCCCCCAGACAATGGCCCTCAGTCACCTTTCAAGTCTGGAAGTGAATTCAACCCTATGAGGTGAACAATAATGCCAGGGAGGTACATGTTCCTTAGAACAATCAACCATAAGAGATCAAAAGGGCAGCATTTACCCAGAGATAAATCTCAGAAGGCAGGAATAGATAGGAAAGAAGGAAAAAGGGCAGTGATAACCACAGAGTGGAAACAGGAAGAGTGCTGTTCCATTGTAGGGATTGCAATCAATATCACACACATAAAAAAAATATGTGTTTGAAATGTTTAACAGAAGGCCAATTTGCTCTATTAACTTTCTCCAAAACGAAAATAATTTAATTAATTAATTAATTAATTAAACTCAACTTAGAGAAAGGAGTAGTTGATGATAGAAAGGCATTGTGGTCCAGTTAGATGAATCTCATTCCATCTCACAAGAGGCAAGTCTACATTTTAGCAAAAGCTTTTTGATGTAGGTCTAAAGCAGAGATATTTAAGAAAACTGTTATTGTCATGAGCAGCTACAAGTTATGATTAAGCCAGAGCTTCCCAAGAACTTTCAGAAAGATGAACTAGGGACTTCTCTAGAAGTGGAGAACATTGTTCCTCCTTAACATTTGCAGGTACATTCTTCTTTATGCTAGCCCCATAAGTTTTCAATTTCATAGAGTTTGTTAAAAACAGAAAAATTGACTTATTTAAGAACTGACTTTTACACAGCCAATAAGACACAGAGCCAGGACTGGAATTGTTTGCCCCTAAATTGCTGGGTAAATTGTCTATTTCAAAGGATGCACTTTATAATTATTCATCTCAGTTATGTCAGTGTAATTCCTGGACATAGCTTAGAAAGCATATATTACAAGGAAATTAAAGCACTTTTTTTGTTTTGTTTTTAATCTAATTGATACTGAATAATAGGGGAGATGGGGAGCTCTGGTAGCGTAGTGCCTAAGGCACTTGACTGCTAACCAGAAGGTGGGCGGTTCAAACCCACCAGCCACTCCTCGGGAAAGAAGATGGGGGCAATCTACTTCCGTAGTGATACTGCCTCGGAAACCCAAGGAGGGGTCGCTATGAGTCGGGTCCGACTCAACGGCTCATAACAATAACAATAAGAATAGGGGTAATGAGGGTATACCTCTGAGATGTTGATTGAGATGGTGAAGAACATGTAGTGAAAAACCAATTATGTGAATTCCTGGAACAGATGAAAAGCAGTTAGAAGGGAGCTATTCATAGTATCTAACAGAGCAAACTTCTAACTAAACCTCAAAAAAAGCTCTGATTAGATACCTCCAAGGAATCTTTTTATTTATCCCTATATTTTAATATATATTGATAAGAATGACTTACCATAGTTAGCATATAACTTTAAGATTTATCTAAGATTAAGTAGCATAACTAATTTACCTCTTATTTAAAAAAAAAAACTGGCATCAAAATCATCCTAGAAAAAAAAAATCTGCTTCCCTTTTCTATTACACCTCTAGAAAAAGTGCATTTCATTATCACCTTTGGTTTCAGGGTTACAACAATGATACCCTATCATGATGCTGTATTCATGCCTGAAAGTTCTCTATTAGAAGACCATTTAAGCTTCATATCAGGATCAAAAATTATCCATGTGTATGCAAAGCCATTTATCAATAAAATAAATTTCAAGCATTGATAGCTTTCGAAATGGAACAATATCCATTCTGTGTGACTTAATCAGTTGAAACCTTATGCTGTTTTCATCTTTTAGGTGTAGCAACACTTGAAGGACCAATGTATGCTGTTGGTGGTCATGATGGATGGAGTTATCTAAATACTGTAGAAAGATGGGATCCTGAGGGACATCAGTGGAATTACGTGGCTAGTATGTCAACCCCTAGAAGTACAGTTGGTGTTGCTGCTTTAAGTAACAAGTGAGTAAACCCTAAAATGCATGTTTTTTGCTCCCAGAGTACGTGGTGCAATATTTCAGTGATGTGATCCATCAAACAATAAAGCATTCTGATGGCCAGGACATTGTAGTTATCACTAATGAAGTACCTTTCATGAAACCCTCTTCTCAATAATGGTGGAATATACTTGTCTAAAATAAACATTTGATTAAACATTTTGTATGCTCTTTCTACTCAAAGTGTGGTCCTGGGGTCAGCAGCATTGGTATCACCTGAGAACTATGTAGAAAGACAGTAACATGCCACCTTGAATCAAAACCTTCATTTTAATAAATCATGGAGTGATTTGTATGTACATTAAAGTATGCAAACACTTTTCTAGGCCAACCAATTCCAATATTACCCTCAAAAATGTACTAAATTTTTACAATATTTTATTCTTAACTTATCAAAACTTTAGTCTGTCTTTTAGATACCACCTTGGAAACCCAAGGAGGGGTTGCTATGAGTTGGAGTCGACTGGATGGTAGTGTTTTTTTTTTGTTTGTTTGTTTGTTTTGTAATAATGCTAGTCATTCTATTCTTGAGCACACCTTCTCCTGGGTGTTCAATTACAAAATTCTAACTAGGCCTGCCCTTTCTGAATCTTGACCTTTTCCTAGATGCTTGCCTATGAAAGCAAGCTAATATGCTAAACTTTGATGATGTTAGAGGATGCCAGAGCTTGAATTGTTACTTCTTCCAGAAAATTGTGTGCATTCCAACAGGGGATCTATGGAGACAATGGCCAGAATACAGAAGGACTTGAATGATGAGAATTTCAGACACCCTCATGGGTCAGTGGCAGGAGATATCTTTGTGTGTCTGTACTGATGAAATGGGCTCAGTACAAATGTCAGCACAGATTGTTTTTGGCACTGTGCTAAGGAATAGAAAATGATAAGAGGAGACCCAGTCTTAAAATTTCTTAAAGCTTAAAATGCTCCTACATCTGATTGTCACTGTCCTGACCTGAGGGTGTCATATAGTTCAGTACCTTCTATATTACTGAACACATTGAAATAACGACATTTGACTCATTTAAATTTGTTTTGCTGAGTTCTGTTATTCAAACTATGCATGAAGGCCAGTTATAGACATATAGTTTAATATTTATTAATGCAAGATTAAATTTAAGTTAAATGTAAAGTTCTGGTTATCAAACATTTTGGCATCTTGAAGTTTGTAGGAGAAGTGTCATAGCTAATATTTGTTCTTAGGAAAAATCTTGTTTCTAAGTTCTCCTATTTCCTTATTTTTAAATCAAGTTAATGGCTTCTTAGTGATAAACACTCTTTTGATAAATCATGTTGTTCATAAAAATAACAGGGATGGAGATCCTGCATAGAGAGGGAGAACAATGTGGAACAAAACTCAAAGTCACAAAAAAGACTAGGTTACTAGTCTGATAGATCTGGGTAAGATCCCCCAGACTATGGCCCATAGTTCCTTCAGGTCTGGAATTGAGCTCAATCCTGTGGTTTCCAATCAAACAATAGACAGGCATATAGGGTGAACATTTACATCAGGTAGATACACTCCTTAGAACAATCAATCATGAGAAAACAGAAGGGCAGTATTTACACAGGGAGATAGCACAGGGGTCAGGATTGCATAAGAATGAAGGACATAAGGAAGAGGTAACTGCAGGGAGGAGGTGGGAAGGGAGCTGTTGAATTGTGCAGAATTGCAGTCTATGTCATGAAATAAAATGTGTATAAACTACTGTATGGAAAGTGAATTTGCTCTGTAAACTTTCACCCAAATCACAATAAAAGTTTGAAGGGAGGGTGGAGGGGAAGCACACTAATGCTGGGCAAGTTGTCCTAGCTAAAATTGTAAGAAAGGTAAAGCTGGTGTTCAGAACTTTCTTCCTGACCCTTTTGATATCTCTCTCCTTCCGTGTACTTCATTTTCAATGGGATAGAAGTTACTTTGACAAAAATGATGGCAGAGGGGAGTTTGGAGTAGGGGAGATCTTAACAGATTCCCTGTGTTAACCATTAACAAACTCACTCCTACTGCTACATATATACATATAGACCATATAATTAAAAATTGGAATGCTTTGTGCATAGTTCTCTCACTTCCATCCTACATATCAATTGGAAATGTTTCACTATCTACGTGTGTATATATATGTATATTTACATATATACATACATATGTCTTTCTTCTAGGTTATATGCTATTGGTGGACGTGATGGAAGTTCCTGCCTCAAATCAATGGAATGCTTTGACCCTCACACTAATAAATGGAGTCTGTGTGCTCCAATGTCCAAAAGACGTGGAGGTGTGGGAGTTGCAACATACAATGGATTCTTATACGTTGTAGGGGGTCATGATGCCCCTGCTTCCAATCATTGCTCCAGGCTTTCAGACTGTGTGGAACGGTAACATGTCTATTCATTTAATGCACGCATTTATTTATTTTCAGAAATGAGAAAGATTTTTAAACTACCAGAAAGTAGTCATCCAGATAAGGGTTAATCCTTTTGAAGGATTAATACTTTTTAAAATTGCACATTTACTCCTTGGCTCAATATATTTTGGAGAAATCTTTATAGATGAAGCACAAGAAATACATAAAAAAAATATATATCTTATTGCTTTATAGCCATACTATAAATTCATAAAATGAAACGGGATACAAGAATAAGCAAATGTTATGCTACACCAAACACTTGACTGCTAACCAGAAGGCTGGAGGTTCAAACCCATCAGCCACTCCTCGGAAGGAAAGTTGGGCAGTCTACTTCTGTAGTGATACCAATTCGGAAACCCAAGGAGGGGTTGCTATGAGTCAGGTCTGACTCGATGGCACATAACAACAACAACAACAATTCACCAAATTGAAA